GGACTACTGTAGTCCACGAAAGCTTATGCTCTAATAAATTTGTTAGTCTCTAAGGTGCCACAAGTACTCCTGTTCTCTTTTTGCGGATACAGACTAACACGGCTGCTACTCTGAAACGAGTAAAAAAGAGAAGTTATTGTCCTTGTATTAGACATGACTTTGCCCATCATTTTGTCAGCAGTTCTTTGTTTTTAGCTAGATGAATCTGTGAGTTCTTGAAGTCAAGTACTGACTTGAATCCTCTAATTCAGGTCCCTTTTCTATTTATTGCTGTCCAGTTCAGTGCAAACTTGTATGTAATTCTGGTTAAACTCTGTAATTGATGTCTCCTATTCCAAATGTGTGCCTTTGCAGAACCGACAACATATGATCTAGATGCTACCTTCTTTTGGGCAAGAGAGAGGTGTCTCTATTAGCCTGGGGTTCACGGGGTGAACCTGCTCCTGGAGTTGGGTGCGTAAGCCAAGGCAGCCCTGTAGCGCAGCGCACTCAATCAGAATGTGGGAGGCCCAGGGAAGATCCCCTCTCTGCATGATTTAGAGTAGGGAGTTGAACACAAGCGAGTCCCCTAATCATCAGGCTATTGAGTATTTGGGGTAAAGGAGGGGACTCTTTCAGTCTCTCCTGTTGAAGCTGTTTCACTTTGTATACATAAATATTCATTGGGCCAGAGAGAAAGACTGACTTGTTAACCCGCTAGTTAGGGCACTTCTCCTGGGCTGCTGAAGACTCAAGTTCAAGTCATGGCACCAATGAATACAACTAGAAAATCATGTCAGAGCAGTGTTTTAAAGTTCTTTTCGTTTTTAGCGTATTACAGTAAATCATTACAAGAGCAATACTCACAATAACGCCTTCCAGTGTATTCTTACCTTCAGAAGGCTCTGCTTCAGAACTCTCTAGTTGTTCCTCTTCAGCCTTTTTGATGGAGAGCAATTTCACTAGAAGATTAAATATACAAATAGGTTTGAGTACAATAGGATCTTTTAAAGGTATGAAGTTACTATAGGAATGGACACTTGAAAAAATTCCAACATCTAAATATAGGTTTTTGCCAACCTATTCTTACTGATTCTGTATTCCCATTTGTAGCTTTGGCAGCCACATAACGGAAGACAGTGTGACTCATGCCACTGGTCAGAATGGCAGGGGTCAGGGGGGCGGGACAACATGGCTTTTGATTGAGGTCATCTTTAATGTTTCTCTAGTACCAGCTGGTGGGGATGCTGATGGGTTAGCACTAGTCCATCACCCTTTGTGTGAAGTAGCTCAGGCTGCAGAAGCGCTATGTCACTACAGGCCAGCACAAATTCTCATTAACTTCAGTGGTTCAGGACTGGATTGTAAAAGAATGTACTAAAGAAACAATTTTGATCAAAATTGGAAAGAGTTTGTGTCCATGTGCACATACTGTCTTGTGCGTTGACAAGAAATTATTGTACAAATAAATGAGAAAATTAAATGTAACATAAAACAGAGAGTAGTTTCCTAGCAGCAATGTTTGTTTTGTGAGAAATGAGTAAAGAAAGTTTGAAATAAAGTTTAGTTTGAAACTAGCACTATTCCTACTTTTTATCCCAAAAATACAATGTAAAAGTAACAACATGTTCTGGCTCCACAAAGTTATCTTACATTCCTATAATTAAATATGGATCCGGGTGTGGATTCCAAATGGTAAATGTACTGGATTTAAATTCCTTTTAAGCATCAGCCACCAACAACGCTGATCTCTCCAAATTAGCAGGGAAGAGGAATCTTCTGAGCTTCTCAGTTAAATGAATGGGAAACTTGTGAGATCCCTTTGCTGTTCTCTTCTCCCCACAAGTCACACTGTACCACTATTGATTTCTGGATACTTGCCGTTGACACAAAATATTGTACTAAAAAATAGAATGGCAATAGAATTCCTTCCCTTCCATCCACACAGCCCAAGAATATGTTAATGGTTTGAGGCTTTCTTGTTTTAACATTCATCCATCTATCAGGTACTTACATCACAGTCATGTCATGTCAGTGGTATCTGAGTGTCATGCAAGGAAATACACTGGTTTTTCTTTACTGCATGATTCTATCTTCCCTCCTGCCCCACTCCTCCTAAAGTGCTTCAAAATTATTCAAGTCCCTGCATGTAGGTTCTTAAATGGTGACTTCGGCTACTTACAGTACTCCCGTAAATTCTGCATACTGTTCTTCAGCATTAACACATCTTTGGACACAGGCGGATTTGTAGAAATGTCTAAATAAATTTTAAATAAATCAGTTACATTCTTATTTTTGACATATAGGGCCACATTTTCAAAGGAGAGCATCATGCATGTAACTCTGAAAAACACATGCCCCCACTTGCGAATTTGGTTAATGTATATCTAGCTACCAAGTTGTGCATGCAACTATCTGATTTATGGATGCAAGTGTGCATTTGTTGAGGCACAATGGGTGTATTATTTTTGTGGGTGCAGCCACGGTATTCTCCTTTAGAAATTTGTTTTTTTACTGTTTTTTAACAGCTTACAGTACAATTAAGATATATGTTTTAAAGATTAAAATTTATAATTCTCCTTCTTTGCTTAGCCTTCTTTAGCCTTCGTAATCTGTTTTGTTCCATTCTATAGTACAGATATTAATGTAATAGCTGATATTTTAATTTCAGTAGTTTTGCTGAGAGACCTATTAAGTGCTGCATGATTTCAAAAAATTACAGAAAGAACTAGTTTAAAAGAAATCTATACATGTCTAGCGACCATTTTATAAATCTATATAAATCTATACAGTTCTTTGTCCACTGCATTACAAATTCATGTATTTAAAATGTTTTTAGGGTTAGAGCAATGTTACCTTATCTAAGCCATGATGGTACTAATTTAGTCAGTGCTTAAATTTTACTAGCAGTAGGACAGGTACCCCAGGGATAAGGAAAAGACCGAAGAACTGCTGTAGAAGGCTTATTTCCCCCTCTGTTGGGCATTTACTAGTTCTTTGAAAGCCTGACAAATGAGAGAGACTCTCTGGATCTCCCCGAGGGAAAGTGACAGTCTATGAGCATCCTATAGTGGAATGTGTTTGGTTCCTTTGGAAGCGACTTCAATTCATTCCTGGACTGAAATGTTGGCCGTTTGTTGTCTGTTTGCATTATCATTTTGATTAAAGGTGGTTTTTCCCCCGACCATGCTTTGCTGCATGTCTTCTCTTCGGCAAGTGTTGTGGCCACTCTCCTGCCATGATTCACGCACATCATGACTGATTATGTTTGGTACCTCAGGCTGAGATGTACTGTGTTGCATTCTTTCATGTATCTTTCTTATAATGGTGATGCAAACATTCTCTTTCCATCCTATGCATAAGAACTAGGAATATTGCATCACCGTGGAACTACAGATTTCTGTTGCTAGAATATAACTCATAATATATTATATGTATATTTATATAGTCCTAATCTGCAAAGGGATCCACTGTGAAGACTCCTATGCCTATATAGCATCCCGTTCAGCAGGACTCTGTAGGGTGAGTTCTTTTGCATGGTAGAGGATTATAGAGAACAAAGGGTTCTTGATTAATTGTGAACATAAATTTACATGGAACAATTCATATGATATAGAAAAGGGAGAATTTCACTATAGGAGAACATTTTTAAAGCTGCAATTTGTAGATGATTGTACTGACATTGCTGGTATATTTCTGCTGTTAGATCTATATTTTGGAGTCTTAAAACCTTACTTCACCTGTTTCTAAAAAGATCTCATGGTCCTCAGGACTTTGTACAACATAGTTATTACCATCATTATCATCTTCCTCCTCCTCCTCCTCCTCCTCCAAGTCATTGACAGGTAAGTTATGGTAGTCTAGAAAAATGAGGCAAATTAGTTGTCAAAACTGTGATTTTTTTTGTACTATATTTACTGAGAATCAGAGACATGCTGTGAATTTTATTTGCTGCGACAAATGGATTTAAAAACAATACAATTCCATGGGCTGTAAAAATGCTGACAGTCTTTCTTTGGCAAAGATTGACATAAGTTGTATGCATTTCTAAATCCTGCGTATTTTTCTGCACCCAGGATGTAAAATATTGATCCTTAGAAATTGCATCCTGTAGTCCAGAGAAACTCAGGTGCAGCTTCCTACTTCATCGGCAACTCCTCTGGGCACAACATGCTGCTCAGAGCATTTCTCAGTTTGGTCAAGGAGTAGCTTTCACGCTGCTTGACACAAGGAATGCCGTACAGAAAGTACAGAATAATCTGTACCCCTTTCCATCTTTCCAAGCAGCAGGGAGAGGACAGGGATCATAGGGGGAAAATCTCTCAACCCATCCTCTTACCTACCGGAAGCCATTTATTTTTACTGGTATAAACTGGTCTTGTCCCTGTATTTCTAAAGGGCTTCTTACCATATGGTATTTAGGCGCAGAAGAGCTTGTAAATCATATTACTTGTGGCCTCCACTTTATCCCCTCCCCCCCTTACATAGGTAAATCATTTAATGGTACAGAGCTGTCATCATGGTTCCTACTCAAATCCCCCTTCCAGCTGCTCGAGCAGGGGACATGTCCAAGGCATACCTGCACCATAGCAATCCATGGCTGCTTGAAATGGTCCTTAGGGACTCTTGACAGCTAGCGCAGTATAGAACAGCCAGAATCATAGAATATCAGGGTTGGAAGGGACCTCAGGAGGTCATCTAGTCCAACCCTCTGCTCAAAGCAGGACCAATCCCCAGACAGATTTTTGTCCCAGATCCCTAAAAGGCCCCCTCAAGGATTGAACTCACAACCCTGGGTTTAGCAGGCCAATGCTCAAACCACTGAGCTATCCCTCTGATCTGCACTGGAAGACTAGCCAACCCAGTAGCAGAGGGCTGCAAAGGTAACCTAAAGCCACCTTTTGCTCCCTCCACTTTGGTGATGAGCTGAGCATAATTTGGGCAAACTAGAGAACTGACCTGTGTCACAACATTTGCATCCTGCTACCCTAAGTATGTTGAAATTTGCCTTGAGCACAGGAAGGACTTGAATCAATACATAGCACACATACAAGGGACTCTACATAGAGACATTAAACTTGCAAGAGCATTTGAAGGATGTTTCAGTTGACAAATTACAGGCTGGATGACACAGTCAGTGGAAACCCAGCTTGAACAACAGAAGCCTGGAACTACACAAGGACAAAATCGAGAAATGATGCAGAGAAGCTATGTAACCTTTCTATGACTTACCTAATATGACTGATTCCATATGTTAGGCCCAGAACAAGAAGTAACATCTGAAAATTACAGGTGGAATGCAATTCTGAGGTTCTTCCTTCTCTTTTAGGTTTAAAATATAAGAACCTGATTTTTTACCCCCAAATCTATGGTTTTGAATGAGATCGTGTAACAATTTGTTACATCAAAATTGTAGGAAATTGTGGAAGTAAATTCATGGAAGTCAAGACAGTTGAATTATCAATTTTGTCAATTTTTAAAAGACCTGCAGCCCCGACCAGTCAGCTCAGTGTCTGTTTGGTTTTAGCACATTCTGATTGGTTTGGTGGAAACTCCAAAATGTTAAGTGCCGAAGAAGCAAAGAAGTTGGTAAAAGTACACCAGTCCCTCGCTAGAATGCGGGATTTGGGATCCATACGCGGGACCGCGTTAAAATGAATTGTAATTAAAAGTAAATTAAAGTAATTAAATTTGGAATCCATGGCCGCGACCGCGTTATATGCGAATCCGTGCTATATAGACACGCGTTCTAGCGAGGGTGTGGTGTATATCAGTATCTAAGGGCAGATACAAAAGGCCTACTGTAGGCCTAACGACTTAGTAGATTAGGGACTCAATTATTGTGCTTATATTTTACTTACAGAATTGCATGCTTCTCAGATCGGACAATGTGTGCATCTTGTGAAGTGAATAATATGATATGGGTTTGGTATTTCCTTTAGTATATCATATGTCCGATTTTTGGATAATTTCACAGTTTTGTTTTATTTTTCTGGGACAAGTTATTTTTTCAGGTTGGGGAAAATCACACCAACCTTGCCATCCAATAGTGCAGGAAAAGTGATCATGCAATGAAATTACAGTTAACATAGAGCGAACAAAAGAAAATATTACTTCATGCAGTGTGTAGTCAGCCAATGGAAATGACTGCTCCAGGGGATTATCAGGTCAAATACTGTGTCTGGATTTTTAAAAAGTTGGATAACTTTATGTTCAAAAATAATTCTTATAGTTATGCATGGTAAGAGAAGAGTTATCCAACCTCATGCTTCAGAGCATGAGATAATTGTTGCCAGGGTCATGAAGGGATTATTCCCTTGCGTACAGCATTATTGGCAGACTATGTGCAATAAGAATTCATTCACCTTCCTCTGAAGCAGCAGGGATTGGCATCACCCCAGCAGAGTACTGGTAGATACTCATTCAGTACGGCAGATCCAAAGTTCCTAAGGACCAGATTCTGTCATTTGTGTCGTGAAAAGAGTACTGGAGTGGAGAGCAGGGAGGTTCAGGGGCAGGCCTTGTACCATACATATCAACTCAGCAGACCCTTTGTGGTCTGCTGAGCATACTAGTCTGCCCTTCCTTACCCCATGACTGTGCTTTAGCTGCAGCATTCTGACTAGGTTCTGCCGAGGTGCAAAAGTGGGATGTTGGAGAGGCTCTGCACACTTCCTTTCTACCCTCCAGCACCCCAAGGGACGACTACGCTGAATTTAGTTGTATATTTTCAAGCAGACACTGCTAAAAGTGCCACCGAGGGGAATGGATTCCTTAAGATTTCTGGAGGAAAAAAACCTGTAGTCGTTTAAACAAAAACAATAAACAATCAACTCCCCTTCCTCCCCCCCCCAACAGGTTAAGGGAAAAATGCATTCAATCTATTCCTAGAAGTAACAATACACTTCCTTAACCATTCTCACCATATAGAGGTTTTGATGAGATCATACCTTTAGAAGATGAAATTAGCTTTTTGGTAGTCCCTGCAGAAATAAGCAGAGATAAAAAGAGAAAAAGTATGGGATTCATAGGGAAAACTGTTGTGCGTCTCTAGTCATTATCCTGGATCTGTCTCACAGTTTCCTCTTACAGTCATCAGTTTCACATTCCAAAGTAGATCATTGTGATGTCACCATCGCTTTTAGAACCAGCACAGACCAATCAGAGAAGAATATGCCTCTGAATTTCTGGAAAGAGATACCACAGATAACTTCTGAGATTTTTAAAATGACACTTTATCTTTGAATAATATGTTTGTTTTTTAATGTTAGAAATGGAACGGTCTTTGGGTAGATAAGAAGAAATAAACTTTTCTCTGAAAAAGTTTCCTCGGTGATTAATTACATTACAGCTTCTTTTATTTTAACAAAGCTCTGTGGGGCAGGCAGCTAGTGCACATTTTCATACCTCTTTAGACCATGAGAAGATGTGCCCCCATCTTACAATCAATGCAAATTTAAATATTTAATATTTTTCACTAGACTGCATGCTTTATAGTGATACAGGTTCAAAAAACACAGCATCTGAATGAAAACAAAGATGACCCAAACTTATTACTCTCTGATGCATCAGAATGTGATCCTCTTAGTTAAAAAAAATGTTTCTATACAAGGTGTATTAAATATCAACATGGGCCAATTGTTACCACAGGTCTATTTTATTCTAAGGTGAAACACTGCTATCTCAGATACCGATGTATAATAATTGTTGGCCCGAAGTGCCTGTTTAATGGTCAGCACTGTAGATCCTCTTCAATTTTAAAATACCTCTTAAAGACGAAGAAAACCTAGAGTGTGAGAAGTATAACAGATAGAGAACAGAGATAAAAAAGGAGAAATTAGAGGGTGGTGGATGTGTCACTGAATACTAGGGATCAAAGGAAACACAAATGGACGATATATTTGATTGTAGTGCTTTTCCTCTGTGCTTATCACATTGCAACCGCTGATCTCCATTATCATAATGATATTTTTACGTACAATACACAGACCAGTACTGTATTACAAATACATTGTAAGGAAATGAAAGGGCCCCCTCTTCTGGCTATGATGGGAAACGGTAATTTTTCCTTTAGTTAAAATAAAATAGTAAGTACAAGTGCTTCTGGGGAAAGGAAAAATAAAAGTGATGAGAAATAAAAAGACACAGCAAGAACAAAGACTGAGAAAAACATAATAGCATAGGAAAAATTAAGGCTCGATCCTGATAGCCCTTATTAAATAAGTCATCATTACTCAGGAATTGTCGCACTGAAATCAGTAAGTGAGTGAGGGTTGCAGGTCTGGGACCTAAAATAATTAGAAAAAGAACATGAAAAAGCAAAGGAGTATGAGAAGAGCTATGACTAACACTGTTCCATAGCTGGGAGATATTGGCAGGTCAGCGATCTGTACAGCAAACACTCCCTGACCATACAACCCAAAGATATGTCCATAATGATCTTGTTAATTGCCCTTCCAAGAAGCATTAGAGTTTGGCTGCAGACACTGATTCTTCAAAAAAACACATTCGGACTGGCCACTTGAACCTCTTTGAGGTTGATTATTGTTTATGGTATCCCACAATGTGCTAGGTGCTTTCCAGAGGTTCAAGAAGTTTCAGTCCCTGTCCAAGCAGATCACAGTCTAAGGATAACAGAGAAGGAGATAGAGGTTAGGGGAAGGAGAACAACAAATAGGTAATTTTTATACAAGTTAACTAGATTCCCTGTAGGCACAATGGCAAAAGTGGGTCTATGAGGACGGATATGTGGACATGTGTAGGGGCCTGACATATGAGTTCAAGGCAGCCATACTATGCCTAGGGTCCACATGTAAGAAGACATAGAGATGACTGAATGAGAAGCTGACAGATGGGTAGCCTATGATGGAAACATTAGTGGAGCAGAGATAGTGAGGGACAACATAAAGCGAAATAAATAGGGAGAGGGAGAGACAGCTTTGAAAGGTGACACAAAGCTTAGATTGGATGTGATAGCAGCTGGGGGAGCAAAAAGAGGTGTTTGAGTGGGCGAGTCCCCAGATCAAAGCAAAGGACAAGGAAGATAACTTTACTGTGTATAGCCTGAAGGGGGATAATGCGTATGTCAGGGAGTGACACTATTATGTCTTATCTGTGCATCAACTCCCTTAGTAGTGCACCAGCAGGAAATCTCTTCAGTGAATCACACATACCTTCTATGTTATGCTACCCCTCCCACCACACTTATGCTATACTTGGGGAGAGAGGAGGCAGAGTGCTGAAGGGAGGAGGAAAAATAATAATATACCCTTGTGGATATGAAGATGAAAGGGGGGTGACAGGCGAGTGAGAAGTTAAAGGGAGAAAATAGCTTTAAATTGCCACTTTGTGAGAATGGGGGCAAACTACCCTTACCCATACTGCGCTTTCAGTCTTTTTCAGTTCTATTTCAAGGAGCTGTTCAACAATCCCAGGCAACTTTCATAGAGGAAACTAAATCAACACTGGCTGCTGAGCCGCAAACTTTTGCTGAAAGGGCAGTTGAGCCTCTGGGGACAGGAAGGTGGAATAAGGGGGCCAAATAGCCCAGGGAACCTTAAAAAGGGGGGGGCATTGTTTTAGGACAAATGAACAAACAAGTGTTTTCAAAGTAGAAGAGGGAAATGTGTAGAGTAGAATTTGTAACCTTTCCCTTATTATTTAGCTTCTCTCTATACTCAGAACTACTTTTCATAATGGAAGGATACATTGCATGAACACCACTTAACTATTTAGAGAGGGGGGGAAAGCATTTTTTAAAGAATAATATATAAACGGAATAAGCCATACTCCGGAAGAAATAAGTCACCTTATGGAGTATGTTAGTTGAGTACTGGTGGTTGAATGTCTTTGACTGAGTGCACCAGATGTGCCCATTGTTAGCTTACTAATGCCCGCTGTCTTGTGGTTATTGCTATGTTAATGCACACCTTGAAGTGACTTATTGCTATGTTAATAGACACTCTGTGATGGGTTATTGCTACATTAATGCACACCGTGGAGTGGCTTTTTGGTATGGTAGTTTTGTATGTCTGTAAGTATGGAATCTATATAAATTCTGTTTCAAAATTAGTTTATCAAACAAGTGACATGCACCCATGGGAGTCTCTTCTCCCAGTGAAATATATTTTGTAGGGTGGATAGGTTTTTGCCGGTAACTTATCACACGTGGAATAATGCTGTGACATGTAGATCTGACTCATGGATCTATGCCTGCGTATGAGGAGAGGTACAAACAACAAACCCTGCACAAACAAAACAGGATTCTGATGACATGGTAACTACATTAATGGCATTCTGTTGATTTGTGATGTCATTAGAATTTGTAAACAGAACCTTTTCACAGGGTGTTTTTCAGTCTTTGCCTGTTACAAGATTTAGTTAAAAAAAAAAGATGTTTTTTGAATATAGAAAAATGTCTTTTTTTTTTGTCTAAGTTTTGGAAAAAATATGTTTTGGAAATTAAATCATACCAGAAGACATTTATTTATAGTTTGATTCAAGAGAGTTCTAGAACTCTTTTGATTGTGGAATTATGACATCTATGGTAATTCAGCCAATCATCATAGAGTTAGCTTTAATTAATTTGCATACTATAAAATGTAAAGCCTATATTGGCCTTTATATATATATAAACAGAAGGGAAGATTGTGCCAGGAATCTCAGCCCAATACCTGCACCTGGTTCCTAGGGAACAATTCTGTTTCAGGAACTGACTCTAATCAGACACCCAGGCAAAAAGCAAACTCTCTGGCTGTTCACACAGCTCTGCATCAAGGACTCATGCCTCTACACAGAAACTAACATAGCAAAATACCTACCACCACCACCACCACAGCATCTTCCCAAGACTGAACATTTGCTTTCACGTTAAAAGGAACTCTGTGCAACAGTGACACGTGGTGAAACCTGCCTAATATTATTTAATATGGATATTGCCATAGCCCCTAAAGATCAACCAGGATGGAGCCCCATCCAGAAATGTAGTAAATAGCAGTGATTTTCTGATTGTATTGCTTATATAGGGCCAGATTGTGGCCTGGTTTGCATACCCATGGATGGGACAAAAGGGGTATAGGTTGTTTCCTTATTTCTTGCACCAGCTGCCAGGATCACGGGTAGTAGTAGCACAGGAAGGAGAGCAGCTTCCACACAAAGAACACCATGCTGAGTATAGACTAGCTGCAGGGTATTTGTCCCTCAGAGCAAGGGGGTACTCAGACGGCAGACTGTGATTCTCAGCGTCAGATGCAGGCTGAGAGTCACAATCAGTCTTTACATCTGCTCCTGGGGCACTACAACAATGTGTAGTAGTTGAGTCCAGAGATGGGTCAAAAACTTGGATGTAAACACCCATTGTGTTTGAAATACAAATTGGGATCTAATTCTGGCAAATGGCCCTTAGCTTTTTGATGCGCTAAACCAAACCCCAGATTTGAACAGCTCTAACTTCAGAGTATTTGAAACTGGGTCTGAGTTTTGCAGCTTGAAAATACATCTCTATCTAAATAGTCTGCTTATTTCTGCTTTCCTGAACCTTATCTATCGCAGGTTTATCATCTCATAGCATATTAATTAACTATCTTGCAATGTATCTGCAGTGGACTTATTGTCTTGTCATATTATTATGTGTCTCGTTTTGCCATAAATCATTGATCTCCCCCTGCCCCCACTCCCTTTTTCAGGAAATAATTAGTCTGCCCGCTCTTCTAATGAATAGGCACCCCTGAAAGATGGACCCTAATGAGATTGATCATGCTCATTTTTCTATTATGGGATTTGGACATTCTGCATATTACAATTATTCTACATTTATTTTATTTAGGGCCAACTCTTCTCCCCTGGACCAAGCCCCTGAGTGAATGGGTTTGCACAGCAGTATTCCATGGGAATAGCATTCTCCCCCACTCCAGGTCATTCTGGATGACAGCCTCACAGCTGCAGTACCTATCACATTTGCTGTGCCTCCCCCCGGGGTGTGTCTCTTTGAGAAGAGGATCTGTGTGGTTGTAAAGCTACCAATCGCACCTGCAGCCCTCTCCTAACCTGCCCCACAGCACCTCTCCATTCTGCAGCAAATGGAGCCCTTGGGGTGCCCAGGAGATATGGAATAATGAAGTTTGTTTGAGGGTGGTAACATAATGAATATAGGTGGGAAATAACAACCAATCTGAAAGGGAGAAATAATCCGAGGAACCTCATAGAATGAATGTAGACATTTCTCCCCAGAACTCTTTGTGGCTGGCTCACTTTTCCTGTCAAGCAGGAAAATGTGCACACATATTTAATCTACCAGCCACCATTTACCTGTTCTAGGAA